AGGTCCTGCCCACACAACCAACACCCCCTCCTAAACGTGCTAATGCTATGCAAGAGCACCTCTCACTCCCCCACTCTCCATTCGGCCGCCCCCCCAAAAAACACCCCACATAAATATGCATAGAAAATGCCTAAAAGTTAATTACCGTCAACATTCTGAGTGGCGTCTGAGGCCAGAGGCAGGGGCGTGTTCTATGGGCGTTGATTTTAATTTATGGCAGACAAACTTTTCTCCCACTCCCCACCAGCAACACCCCAGCAGCCCCAGCTTCTATATAGTCCCTCCCAAGTACACCCTCTGTGAGCTCTATGTGTGAGCTGGTAATTTAATATTCATGACCGTGTTAAAATCAATGCAAAAGAAGGAGAGACCAAGTAGGACAGATAGAAAAGTTAATGCCACTGGTTTGGTAACTGGCCGGGTCTGGTCTGGTTTGGTCTGGCCTGAGCCAGCAATCTAATTAGCAATATTTTATATTAACGACCGGGCTGCTAATTTTAATTGAAATTCTATGCTTCTATTCTAATTTTTTTTGGGTCTCAGCCTCCCCTCAATATCGGGGCATAAATCTCAGTCTACCCTTTTTTTTTTAGGGCGGAGACCGAGAAGTGTTTCAATAATTACCCTCATCCTGTTTTTCTTGTGCGGGTGCTTGAGTGTTAACAACCTTGTAACTCAACATATGAGGGTTTTTTGAGGAAAGGGGTTTTGAATTGACTTTAAAATGCAAATGATTGTTTCTTTATAAAGAAGAGCATACGCACTTCGTGCTAAAAGTTCTCACAAATCCCTTTCAAAGTTTTCCTTGCTGTTTTTGGTTTCCTGAAAGCCTCCAACCCACATATTATCCCACACACTCACATCCTACCATTATGCCATTTGACATTTGCATTTCAAATGATTCTGCTTGTTGACTTTAATTAGCCGAGATTTGTTTCTGCTCTCCAGGGTCCCTCCTGCCCCTTTCCTAATAGCTTTTCCCAAAGAGGAGACCTGTTCGAAGTCCCTTTACTAGTAATTGAACCAACGAACTAAGCTCTGATATTTACCTTGTATTTGCATAGTTGCGAATACCCCGAAACGAGCTGAAGAAAAAAAAACATTGGAAAATTCTCCATTTTCCCTGCCCTGGCAGCGTTTTCCGCTTCGGTCGTGGAAAGTCTCATTACCAGAGCAACAACCACAACGAATCGATTTCCGGGACGGGCAACCCGCCCCTCAACCCGAGGCAAGCTCATACAGGTGGAAAATGCGCAAAAATTCATTGTGCAGAAAAAGTTTTCCTTAAAAAAAAGTACACAGGACATTGGGTGGTGGGGGGAGGGACATCACCTGCCTTCGGCGGTTGCTTTCTGCTCTCTGCTCCGCCCTCCCCCCGGCCTGCCGTGTGGCGGGAAAGTGTATTAAAATGCGAGGAGCCAGTGTCTTCGCAGCGACTACCACCCCCGGCACAGCTGTGCCCAGCTGCTTGGAAACAAACAACAACATAACCGAAAAGGGGGAGACTCTCAGCCCCTCCCCAGAACGGCCCCCTCGGCGAGTTGCTCCTTTCCCCATTATTGCGGTTTGCTGCACGGCAATAAAATGCTTTAAAATTAAGCATAAAAGCATAAAATATTTAAATTCAAATGGTTTTTCGAGCCAAAAATGAAATGAGCTTTAATGCCTAGTTGGAATTTATTTATACATTTTTCCGTTTCTATTTAAATTTGCATTTTATTGCAATTTGTTTGATATTTGCTAGCTGGCTGTTCTTCTGCCGGTTCTTCTGGCCAACATAAATTCTTGTTTTATTTTATGTTATTTTATGCATTTGCCTTTTATTACCCACCCACGACAATGGTCCTCGAAAGGTATATGATATTCCCGAGACTAGGTTTTTTGTTCTGGTACTGCTTCTGGTTCTGGTTCACCAAATGATAATTTATGCAAATGTCTGTGTAGTCCTGTGTCCCGAACCGTGGATGAAGACGAAAAAATCGCTGAGGGTTGCAACAAAAAGCCTCCCAAAATTCGAGGAGCTGGGAATCCATTTTCCATTTCCATTTTAGTTTGCTTTTCAGGACGGCAGCCTCTTTGTGCTGACATGCCTTTGTCATTTATTTTGTTTATCTCTTTGGCAGTGTGCTTTTTTTACATCTAACAAATTATTATTATGTTTCGGGCCATTTTAGCTGATCCAAGCGGTTCAGAGCGGTGCCCGTAAATCACAAAAATCCAGGGAGGCATTGTTTGGAGGGGGGACATGGTCCTGACCCTTTGGACCTTTCGGTCGTCGAGCTGCAGTTGAGTAATGAGCTGCTTATCGAAGGGCCAAAAGGTATAGCTCGGCTTGTTTCCGAAAGTTAATGATATGACTTCATCTGATGATGCTTTATTTGGTTTGCTGAGCTCAGGGATTCCATAAATGAAGAAGGTGTGGAACAAAGGTGTTACTTTGAGAGAATATTAGATATTATTCCTCAAGCTACCAATATCTTTAAATTGCTTTAACTTTTAAAGGATGTTACTTCAAAGCCTTTACCGAAAAGTACTCAAAGGATGTTTTCACTCTTACAGTGGATACCAGCATCCATCAATGGCTCTTTGCCAAATTCCTGCATTAGTTTCGTTTACTTTTCAATTGCTCCTGAAACAAACTCCCTTTAGCATCTCTCAACCGAACTAAGTAGCCAATTGACAACTACAAATTGAACATTTATTTTCCAGCTGCAGATCGTAGTGCAAGTGCCGTGCCGGAGGATGGGCAATGTTTTACATAGACATATGTAACACTGGGGAGCCCAAAGGACTCAAGTGGTCGGTCATCGGACTGGCAAAAGGGATGCAGTTGGGTGCCGCATGAACTTTGAGAAGATGTTTGAGCAGCTAAGATAATAGAATTTTCTCCTAAATTTAGCCAAAGATGCCTCACGAAAATAGTCGAAAGTAGTCGGAATGTGGAGTGGGGGTCTGAGTTGCTTCAGGTCCCTATGCAAATGTCTTAGACATGGTTGGCTGACTATCACAGTCATGGTCGTCATCGTTCTTGAACTTCTCCCCGTCTAACGAACAGACAGAAGACGAGGATATATCCCATTCCTGTTTTTGTTTATTTGTTTACTTTTTGCCATTTGCCTGCATGCCAGTTTTCCCCTCAACTTTGTCATGGTTCCTGCTCCTTTTCTCCGTTCTTGTTGGCGTCATTATTTTGTTGTCCTTTTTTTTATTTTTTCCTCTTGGTCCTTTCTCATGAGCCATGAATATTTTCATATTTTCATGCGACCACTTTGGTGTCCTGGCTGCATGTGACTGACTGCGAATGCTTATTTCCAAGGCTCTCCTGCCTTATCCTGGCATTTGTGTGTGTAAAACTTTCGGCTGCTGCCTCTACTTTCTCGAAGGTCTCATGTGTAGGACCATGTTATTTAATAGGCTTTTGTGACTTGAAGGAAGAACACCAAATGGCTGGGAAGTCGATACAGTGGTTAGGATATGATTAGGTGGAAGTGCTTCTAAGAAATAGTTTTAAATAATGTAGTATAGCTACAAGTGTTTATTGAGTAATACTTTCAAACGCATTGTTTTAAACTACATCCTTCACCCCTAATATTATTTCTTTGGAAATATCTCCAAAAACATACCACTGTCCTTAGATATCCTCAATGCTATCTCGTTTTACTTTTTCCTCGCTCTCCAAATATATTTTCATCTCACCCTCGATGTTTGTTTAGTCTGTCTGGAGTCCTCTGCCTTTCGGAGTCGTCTACATGTGTCTGCCCCTTGTCGTGCTCCTTGCAACCCCTCTCAGATCCTTAGATCCCAACCCCCTACCGCAAACGCTTTCCGTTCGGCTTCCGTTTGTATGCACAGTGGCTGCTGTTTTGGTAATGCGTTCAGATTATTAAACATATTTTCTGATGCCTGACAAATGGCAGGACAAACGATGGCAAAACATTCTATTACCCTGGCTGGGAATGGAGTTTTTGGCGCTTTTTTTGGGCAATTAAAAGAAGAACTTGCCGCGTAAAGAAAGTTACTTTAAGTGTTCAATAAAAAGCCAGAAGCAAAGTTGGTTGTAAGCGTAAGTAGGTCAGGCCATTAAAATTGCCACACCAGGCAGGAAAACACCACCCAGTGGATACACCCTCGTGGAGATTTATGTGTGTGCTTTGGTCTGTTTGGGGTTGGGGGGTTGGTGGGTTGGAGTACAAACCAAAATAATGTATCCTATATGGTTTCCTGTTTCTTGTTTAATCGTTAAAGGAATTCATGGTTTGTTTCTGGCAGTTAAAGTTGTTCTCTGTCCGTTGACACACCGAATAAGAAAGGGGAGCGACTCCACACGCACCGGTAGCACATCCGCCAAACCGGAAGTCCTGGAAACCGTAACTCGGCCATAGGGGGCGCCACCTGCAACACACACACACTTTGGTAAACTTGGCTCGATTCCCTCGGCTCTCGCTTTTAGAAGTTGTGCTGCTAAATGCTTTCTGATTGTTATTTTTCGTGTTTCCCATCCCCCCGCCTTGAGGTTCTTCGGCACATTCTCGATGTTTCTGCGAAATTACAATTATTACACGGCCCCCCACCTAGAGTTTCTTGCAGTTTCCTTCTGGCTCAGATGCCTGGGCGCCTCAGCTGCCTCGCCTGGGTGTTTGCCTGCTTTTCCCCCAAAACTTTGGTTTTTGGCGCTACAAATGCAAAATCTGGTAATGTAGGCGTGTTTAACACAAACTTAAGTTGTTCGTAATGACTTTGTAGCGACAACTCCGGGGCTGGGACGTGGATTTAGGAAAAAAAAGGAAAGTCGGGGAGCCGGCTCTTCCGGCGGCTCTTAAAGCAGCGGTTGATGGCGAAATTTAATGAAAAAAGTTTGCAACTTAAGATGAGCAACTCTGGAGCGAAAAACGAAGACAAATCACAAGTTAATGAGGCATCTTCTGATAGGGAACCAATCTCAGACACCTAGAAGGTTTAAATTTTTGACATTTTAGTTATAGTTTTCTTGAAAAGTATACATTGCCTTTGTACTCGTCCAGTCAGTAGATCAAAAATTTGAAATTCCTTCTCGAAACCCAACTATTTTACATCTGAGACTCAGTGTCTTGCTCGGGAAGCCATGGAGGAGGACCTAGAGTTTCTTATCAACGCCTTGTCGGTGCCCAACACCCCACTGACAGAGCCCTACGACGAGGGGCAGTTGCTGGAGATGCGAGAGACCTTCAAGACGGTGCAGAAGCTCATCCGAAGCCGCCCTGCGGAAGTGGAGGAGAGTCTTCGCCAAATGCCGCGATCCAAAGCCGGCGGGGACACAGGCAGGGTCAAGGACCGAAATCTCAACTCGATGCTGGCCCTGATGGACAGTGATTGTAGCAGGGGCTCCCCGGCCTGGACATCGGCCGATAGTGGAGCTCTCACTTCGCCGATCATTTCGGAATGCGGCCTGCGAGGCATGAAAGTGATGGGCCAAAACGACACTGATTTGGAGAGCAGTCAGTTCGAGTCTGATGAGGAGTCCCATGGTGCTCTGGTGCCCTACGAGGAGCTCTACACGGACAAAAGTGCCTCGGAAACGACTCTCACTGGCGAGAGTTCTGTATCCTCCACGATATCCTTTAGCATTCCCATGCAAGTGGTCTGGAGCAACAGCGACTACTCGTCGCAGGTCTCAGATAGCGAGACCACCATCACGGCCGATGGACACAGGTTCTCACTCATGAATTAAGAGGTTTTGCCACATTAGTCTTAAAATTTTAGTGATTTCTATATAGTGACTTGGATTCTGTAATAATTTTAAGTCATTTCAATGGTTTGCAGGGCATAAGGATGATTTCTGAAGAGTAATTGTGGTTAAGGTTAAAGGATACAGAAAATCACTTTAATAAACAGTCCAAAATTAACAGCATGGAAATAAACTTTTAAATGGGAGAAGCTTCTATACAACCTTACTTATAGAGCGCATCTCTATGCGATTCTCAAAGAGATTCACCTCTCTATGCACTTCTCACTGAGTCCACCTTACAAGTGGATAGTAGAAAAGGGATCAGCGATCAACGTCATCAAATTAGAACGCATCACCTGACCCCAGACACAGTTTTAATGAGCTACCATAGGTATGGTTGATATGGTAGACGTGACCCCTCATTTAACCCATGCTGGCCACTCGACTGCCGACTGGAATGGAACTGGGAAAAGTGATTAAAACGGAAATTTAATTGAAATGCGCACATTTGCGTAGGCATTCGCCCATTTCCGTCTGACTGGGCACGCAAACCACTCTCGGATGCTCAGATACTCAGATAGTCGTATATAGAATTCCAAATGTTTGTCTACTAAATGCCCGGGGGTCATTTGACAGGGTCTTTGAACGGGTAGGGCCGTCAGATTGGTGTTTGGAACGCAATTCTGCGTATTTTTGAATTCGACCGTTCCTCGGATATGTAATTTCAATATTTTCTGGTGTTGTTTGCGTGCGTGCTGCAATTTCCTACCGACTGTTGTCGACTGCCGACTACCGCTACCGAAAAATCTAATTTAATTTCGTATTTGTGCCTTTTTCTATTGCTCACCTACCACCCACACATTTTGGAGCGTCCATTTGTATTGAAATGTTGGTATGGAGAGTGGTTTGGTGAACAGGTGAGGCCTTCGAGCAATTTGCTTTCGCTTTTCCTGCTTTTGATTTTCCCCATATTGCCGTCACTTTTGTGAGTTCTCGGGTGGGTGGGCATTTCGACTGCTCCTTTGTCAAGCCTGGCTCTGGTTCGGGGCAACAATTTGCAAAGAGAGTGAACCAACCTGGTCTCGTGTATGACCATTTATTGTTATGCATATTAAACATTGGCATGTACGGAATGGAATTCCAGTACGAGTCGGGAAATGCAATAAAAATGTTGTATGCCAGCAATTAGTTTAATGGGAGATCTAAGGGAAGGATAAGAAATATTCAAGGAATGAATACCTGTGGTTTTCTTTGCTTTTGAAATACTTACATATATGTTTCTGATTCTATTGATATTCGCGTGTAAAAATAACCTAAGACAGTATCTTATGTGTTGGTGGTTTCCTACCACATTCCTTTAATTTTCGACTCATTCATGTCCTAGACACAATATGTATGTTGGCTTTCATCCAGTCAGCTCTTCTCATTGAAAACACCATTTAAGCCACACCACAGCTCTTGCCACCGGAGTTGGTTAGTCTCTGTCTTGTGCGGCATGTAATTGCAAATCCAATTAATTTACGAACTAGCAGAGCAAATGTTCTACTAAGTAAGACATAAATAGCACAAGACCCGACACCAGACCGTGTGTGTTCCAGAATTTAAAGTGTCTCGTGTTCGGATTCAAGTGAGCGTTTTCTTTGGGGATGTCAGTCAGTCGAAGGAGGAGTATTTGACGCCGTTTTTGGAAAGTGCTTCGGGTGCTCAGGTTGACAAATGCACAACAATTAAGTGAGTAGTTCCTGAGAATTTATGCTGACAAAGATACAGAGATGATTCTCCCAACTTCCTATAGAGGGGAGACTACTAACAAACGATGGAAATTGAAAAGCGAAACTGGGAAACTGGGAGTGAGCCAGAGCTCGCTTTCGGGCTGATGAACATCCATTTCGCCTTAATGCTTCCGTGGTGAGCATTAAAAACCTGGAAAGAGAAATTATGCTAATAAATCGCAGCGACACGTGTCGTTGTACTCGCGTTTCAGTTTTTCCCCCACCCGGCATGTCACTAATGGACATGCGCCACGGAATATGCATCGAGTAGTATTCCTCAGACTGTTGCCACAATGTTGCACTGTGTGTTGCTTGGGATTATTATGGACTCTTGGGCACTCCTGCACGTGGTGTTTACACATCATTTACATAAAACGAGCAACAACTTTTTGCAATTTCTTAACGAACAACAAAAGGAAAACCGGCCCAACAAAGTTGTTAATTATACTTGACTGGACGACACAGAAACGGTCTTGCTGCCTCAAGACCGAGAGAAAAAAAAAGGACAAGGTATCCTGCTCACTCAGCCTTTGATAATGACCGAAAGGACGAGATGGTGGAAGAAGGGATTTTTCCGGGACCAGCCCGCTTATGACGTGCTGGAATAAACCATTAATCAAAGCTGCATCGCCTGGGCGAGTCGGGCACGGTACTACCGCCAGTTTTGAATATATTTTTCCGTTTCATTTTTTATTCCTTATCCGGAGCACCACCGGGCTTCTTTAACGACTCCAACTAAGGGGAAGTGGTTCTTTTGGTCGCGTGTGTACTATTTAGCAGGGTGCATGGCCCTGAGCCGATTGCCAGATTAAACAATTTAGGGCCAAGCGGAAAAAAATGTGTATTGCCTAATTGTAGTAATTAATGAGTTTAGTTTACAGCTCCGATGAGAAGTGTGTGGGTCTTGGGGGCGAAATGAGGTGATGATTAATAGCAAGGAAGTTTTGGCAAACCCGAAAAGTAATTAATAATATAATAACTACAAGAAATATTAAATTTATTCGCTTCTGTAAATCCGAAATCCAAAAATTTAATTACATGCCTCGATGAATCGTAAATAAAGCCAGCCAGACAATGCCCAGAGTTGCAGGATGCTGCGAATACAAACAAATATTTTTAATAAGTGGATGTGGATGTGGATGTGGATGATGGCCCGAAGGGTTCTCCCATCGACTGCACGTGCGTGGTAGTAGTCCCCGGCAACCTTAACCTTTCGTTAGGTATTTTTCAGAAATTGCAATAAAACGTATGGCTGAGCAATTGTGCTGCGGACGAGTAATTTATAAATACTCGCCTTGCCTGCCCTATCCTGGAGTCTGGAAAATCCTTTATATTTTGATGATGCTCCTGTTGAGCCAAACTAATTTCCCGGACAAACATGAAAAGGCCCGGAATGCTAGTAGCATCCCCCTGAAAAAAAACACAAACACCCCTCTCGGAAAATGACATAAAAGTGGATCGGAGGGGGTGGCGACGATTCTGTGGATCGGTTTTAATTCCACTTTCCGTCTGCCGTCCTCTGTGAGGATTTCGGTGGTGGCTGCGTTACCATGGTGGGCGCTATTTCCCGGGTTGGCTTTTTTTTTTGTTGGCTTCCAGGTCGCTTAGTTAATTTCCACTGCAATGCAACGTGAGGCATTGCATTCAAAATTAAATCCTCGACGGACTATTTGTCATTTTTGACAGCATCCAGCAGAAAGGGAGGAATTTCGACTTTTGCGCAAAATTTTCGGCTTATGGTGAGACATTTATTTTCCTCTACTACCCAACAATAAAGGACTGACTGTTGAACTTTATATTCCCATTGCGTCAGAACTTCTGTTGTCATCGCGATCTGCTGTTATTGTTTGTAATTAGATCTATCAGGAAGTTATTTCTTAAACTGGAGAGTTTTGGAGTTGAATTCGAGGAGGGAAGTTAAGGAGAAGGTCCTTTGTGATATCCAATATCAACAAGTTAATTATGGGTACAATATCACAGTGTATCCTTTTCACATTCACATAAATCTAAGCTTAAGCTTCTTAATTTCAAAATATTTTCTCACTAATCTGATCAGAAAAACAAAATACGCAACTCGTTTATTCCCGAAGGGCTGCAAAAGATTAAAATCAAATGATGTCGTAAATTGTCACAACTCTTTGCTTCCCAGCCCCGCTGCCACAAAAAATAAATCCCGCATCAAGGATATTAACGCCTTAGACCGCTTACTGTCCAAATCATAAATCATCAAACATAATAGACAGTTCAGACATGAAAAAAAAACGAAATTGAAAACGAAATTTGCATTCATCGCACATGACGAGGTTCTCCTTTAAGTACATAACAATCAAAAATTATGGTTTTATGAAGGGTTCTGCGCCGGGATTAGAGATTTCGGTTGAGGGGCAACAAAGTCCTGGCAACAGTTGCGAATCGAATCGAACGGGAGCCACAAATGCTTTTCCATTGTCGAGTCTTGAATGGGAATGGACGTCCATCCCCCTCCTTCAGGCCATTATAAAGTTTTGTCAAGTTAAATTACCAAAAATTGCAAATTGCTTGGATTAAACACGACGGCGAACAGGGACAAGGACATGGCCACTTTCGCTTCCTGCCGGCCATTGTGTGGCCAAAGGATTTCATACACTCAATATAATTAAGGGTTCAAGCCTTGTGGCCGAAGCCGGCCGGAGTCGTCTGCCTGTCCCCGGCAGAAAACTTTGTGTCCTGGCAACAATTTTTGGCCGAATGCTCTGTGGGCCCCCGAGTTGCTGGCCAGAAGAGAATTTGTCGCCGGCCATTCTGAATTGTATGTTAAATTAAATTTTACCACAGGGACCAGTCTGGCCAAGTCATTGAGCCTCAGAGTCCTCTTCTACTGGCCAGTGGCTGTGTCGGTGGCTGGGTGGGATTGGTTGGTCGGCTTGTGGCATTAAGTTGTCTGTTTGTTGAGCTTGACAGATTTTTCATTTGTCAAGGCCGAGAGGGGGGCCTGTTGGCAGTAGAAGTTTGTTTGCCCTAGGTGTTCCAGGTCATAGATAGGCATATCCAGTTAATAGTATACAATTTCAGAGCTCAGACTGAAATTTTTAGCCAAATTCACCATTTACGTTTCTAATAGAGATTTATTTTTGTTTCATTGCAGGTAATTTTCCACATGACACTCTCTCCATGATCAAAAGCCAAATTAAATGCATAAGTTAAAATGTCTCAAGTGCTCGTTCATCGCAATCAACCGTCTGCTCACACTCGTCTATAAATCAATAAAACAATGACACAGCCTCTTGTAAAGACTCCGCTCCGTAGACCTAATTCCGTGGGCCAGATCAGCTTCCCCAGGCAGCAGCTAAAAGTGCTCTGCAATATATCACTTGACTATTCGGCTGATTGTCATCGCTTAAACGGCCAGCGGAGCATTTCATTTAACTGCCT